GGGGGTTGAAGTCACGTGATGATGACGTCTCGCGATCCTAGCGGCGTTTATCACGTGACCGACGACGACGGGAGCTTAAAGTGTTAGTGTAAGAATATCAAAACTATGCCAAAAATCAACCTCATTAATTTGTTAATTAAAAAAACAAAAATTTAAACTTTGGTTTGCCTTTTCTCCTACGTTATTATTTCATCCTTATTTCTGTTTAGTAAAAAAAAAAAATTACAAATGATTAAATCATTTATTGGAAATGGATTATAAAATGTTAAACATTCCGCTTACACTAAACGGCGTCAGTGTTCAGACTTCAGAGTTTTAAAATATATTATCCACTTGCACCCTTTTTGCGACTTCACGTTTCGACCAAGATTTATTAGATAACGAATCAGAAGATCTTGGGGTTCTAATCCCGGTTTAGTCAATGTTGGTTCGGTTTGCAGTAACTCGAATTCAAATGTGTTTCGAACCCTACACGGCTATACCTGAATTCAATCGATACAAACATTCTTTGATATTTTCATAGTGAAGATACATATCTAACAAAAATGGAATTTAGAACCACACTAGAATTGAATCAGATTAGATTTAATTACTATTTTTTCTCAACTTTGTTTTAAAGAAAATCAAACAGAAAACTGGATTAAACACACCCTTCATGAGATGGGAGACTCAAACATGACAATATAATCGTGTCATGAACTTGTATTTCTGAATTCTAACTATAAGCCAAAGAACAAAAGCCCTTGAAAACACAAAGACAACAAGAGATTACATCATCTTAAGCATTTGACACCAAAAAAAGGAAAAAAAAAGTCTCAAGCATGTTTTTAGACATTATTATTTGTCTGTGTAAATTTTGCTCCATCATTTAAGAACCCAAAGAGCAATCAAATTCGGGTTTGGTTTTTTTCTCATACGGAGATACCGTAGTTGCTGATCTTGTTCACTTCCTTTGTCAAAGCGTTTCTCTCTTGCTTTACTTCAGAGGCACGGTTCGATATCTGCGGTTGAACAAGTGAGAGACATCACAATGGTGTGTTACTATTACAGCTCCCATACTCTATTCTAGAAGAGCAAAGAGATGAGTGATACTTACTTGAGTACGGAATCGAGAAGCTTCTCTTGTGGGTAATTCTTTAAGAACATCTTTCAAACCTGTATAGATTGAATGATTGTGGTATAAGTCGATAAGCTTTGTTACAGGGAGAGTTTTCTTCTTTTTGCTCAATGAATCTCTGGTTTAAAAAACTGTGGCATGAAAAACACTTTAAAGATGTATAAATTATACCTGCTGCTTGCTTTTCGATTTTATAAGCAGAGTGGATCGCACCTCGGATCTGTTTGCCTGCTTGTCTGCGTAAGACGATGGAGAGAGTCAAGTTAATATTCATGTTGGTAAATATCCAAATGTATATTGATCTTGTTTTTTTTTGTCTGGATAACAAACCTGAGTTTCATCCTTCCTCTAATCAACTCTTCTTCTGCCACAGTTGCAACTCTCTGCAACAAATCAAAGTCATGGTGAATTCAAAAGCCATAAATCCAATAACGGCTTCAAACAGACAGCAATTACTGAATAGTGAAAACCATTGACTATTGAAGGCTATATACATAGGGGTAATGAAAGTGATCTATCACACTCATGAGAACTAGTCTCTTATACACTTCCTTCAGTTGCGAAGGAAGCATAACCCTTTCATTTCTGTGAAATTGGAACCATTCAAACCATATGAATCTAAATCAGCAACATCCTCATTCATATTCACCTAACGAAGGCTACGCAGAGAGTTCTCTATTTGGAACCTAAACCCTTCCAATTTTCATACTAAACGCCAGCCATTCTATTTCAAAATAAGGGGATGTTAAAACAATCACAAAGGAATAATATAGCCAACTAAATGCATACATCGTAAGTCTTCTTCTACACAAACCTCAATCTCATGTTAAAAAGAGCAACTCCTTACCTCTAACTTATCACTTTCGGCTTTGAGACGATCCATTGACTGTCGCAACTCTTTTACTTTAAGATCAGCTCTAGAAAGCAAAGCCTGAATCCAAAATATAGGTCCAAAACTCAAGAACAGCTTAAAACCACAGAAAGACCAGCTTATATACATACGAAAAGTTGAAAACAACACTAACCTCTTCGCTCATAACCATACGTAAAGTATTGTAATATACAAATCTTCTTGTCTCTGCAAACAAACATAGCAGTCATCACTACAACTTCTACAGGAGTGCATAACATAACATAACACTAGAACTCTAGAGAGATAAGAATATCCAAGAAACGTACTCTTCAGAGCCAAAATCCCAACCCCAAAAGCTAAGGTCCCTGATATTACTGGATGAGATGCAGCAACATTCACACCATCTTCATACAAAATCGAGAAATTTCTTTATGAGCAGAGTGAAACATTGCCCAACGACATAGTAAGGAAGCACAATGTGGCCATGAAAGTAGAACAAACCTTTAATCTTCCCAAACACCATATGCTCGTAAACGCTATACTCAGAAGCAATGTCTCGAAGAGAATCCTATATCCCAAAACGATAGTGTGAAATTTCAGATTCGATTGGATTCAAATGAAGAAATTAGGGGTCGTAACTCGTAAGCTTACGATTGTTTGGGTCGTGTGAGCAACGGAAGTATCTCGAATTTGAGACAATCGAGATTTGGATGCGTCAATGGTGGAATCCACCGTCTCCGAGATGGTTTTCTGGTAAATCATCGCCTGACGAAGCGCATCGTCGATCCAGGAAGCAGCATTTTCCACCGTCGTCGTTGAGATCTTCGGATATTCCGGTAGCTGAGGTGGAGAAGATTGTGGAATCGCCGGTGGATTCGCGTCTCCCATATTATCTGACGATGATGATTCTCCCAAGGTTGCCATTAGAAAATATCTACCCCCAAAACTGCGACCTTCTTCGCTCAAAGTTCTCAGGTAAAAAACCCGGTGGATGAAAAAATGACCCGAATATAAAAGTCGGGCCCCGTTTAAAATTGTCTATTGACAAAGTTAAGCCCCTGGATCTCTGTTTAACTTCCAATTTTTCCCTAGTATTCCTTAATTGCACACTAAACTCCAGAGATTCTCCGAATTTTAGCAACAAAGTGATGAATCTTAATCATGTTATTAGTCTCTACTCTCTACAATGGTTAACATTTTATTTTAGTTCATTCCTTAAATAATCTACTCTTGAGTCGTGTCAAGAGCCTCAACTATCACATTCTTCGAATTTATATCTTAGTTCACTTCCAAAGTTATATCAATGGTACTCTCAATTTGTGAGATGATGTACAAAAAGTTTATCCCTTAAATTTGTATGAAGATATTGAAACTTGTGAACGTCAAGAAACTGAAATATTTTTAGATAGTTTATACTCCACAAAATTAAAACATGAACTGAAACCACTGTTGACTAATAATCTGATCACTAGTCACTTAAGGGTATTTTTCTTGCAACTATTATCCCTTTTTTTGTACTCAACTCGCTCTCTCTAATCACTTGACAAAGTAGAGCTTTCCCATTACGTGAAGGACAGCGACGAAAGCGATGAAACCGATGCTCATGACAAGGACAACATTAGGCGAGATCTTGAGACCAGGTGCGTCATCCGTGTAGAACTGAAGCATGGATCCAGCCGCACCACCAGAGGCTCCTCCTCCACTGGAGCTACCACTCGGCTTCCTCCTACGCATGCTTGCAGCTGCAGCTGCACTTCCTCTCGGTGGAGCTCCACTACCCACCATTTTATTTCTGATTTTAAGTTAGTACCTGAGATAGGAAAAAATATCAGCAACAAACCTTTAAATAAGCATGAAATCACTTCCCAATAAGGAATTCGAAAGCAAGAGAGTGATCTTATCAAGAGAAGTAGAAGCATTGAGTTAAGGAAAATAAAAGGAGACATCTAAACACCTATTGTTTGAGTTTTTCATTGTCATACATTAAGATTAAAGAAAACTCTCCTAAATAATTCCCCTTGAAGTAGCAAAAAGCCATGAAATTTGAATCCCAACCCAACCGCATAATACAGCTAATCGAACCTAATTCCGCTCAATTCCTTTATCCAATATCTTAACTCAATACAAATTTGAGTTCAAACCCTATTCAATAAGCTTAGACAATCATGTAAATACTATCCTGGCACTAAGAATCAACATAATACAAACGCATCCACGTATTCTTAGAGATGTAAATGAAAGAAACGTGTTTCAATTTTGGCAGATACATGAGCTCGAAACTCTCAGATACAGAGAATCAATTTCAGCATCGGGTCTACAAAACTATTAGCAATCAAGACAAAATTTAGATGAGCAATGCAAAATACTCAACAAATCGAATCGAATTCACAATCGAAACCTATATATAACGACGAACATGCAAAATTCTCAGATGTATAAGCTACATTAAGCATGCAAAAAGCAACAAAAAAATCGTATCAGATCGGATTCAACATCGAGGCATAATCAGATCTACGCGTTTATCTAACAAAACCATAGATTTAGAGATTCCTCAAGCACAATATCATCGAATCACACAACTAGAGATTAGATCGGACTGCAACAAACCCAAAAACCAAAAAAAAAACTCACCTGATTTGGCTTAGAAATTCTGATGTCGACGAGAACGATTAGAAACGGAGAGAGATTTTTCAGACTTTCGAAGTTGACCGGACTCTTTAACAATTTTATGCAAGTGGTTTATTCTCGCCACGCACATTTCATTTTATCAGCCAATAAAGATATGCCACGTAGGAGTAATTTATCAGAGCTTTTTTAACAACGAGGAAGTGTTCGAAGATAACTAACTTAGAGCCCAAAATTAAGGCCCAATAAAACCCAAACTAAAGCCTATTACAAACAAGGAAATGTCCATTTTTGCGCACAACAGAACAGACTAAAATTTTTAAATGTTTGCTCAAGATACGGATACAAAGTTCTCCAATATAAAGATTTGATTGTGTAATAATTTTACTTTACTGGTAGGTCATATGAGAAGAAATCGGAAGTGAAAATGTGTGATTTTACAGGCAAATTATCTTGATAACATATCTTGAATATACCAGAAAAGTAAAAGAATACCTTCTACAAGAACATAAGATTCATCATGTACCACAATTTACCCTGTCCAAGATTGAGTGTCTGAACTTTTTTTCAATCGATATTCAGCATGAATCCGAATTTGGTTACAATACTATAGACAAAGATATAAACGTTTTATATATTCACTGTTATTCAACCTGAAAGTATTACAATGTTATAGCTAACAATAACACCTTCACGGATATGTGAAGTCTCCTTACATTCGTATAAACGTTTTATTTACTCGCTTTTACTTCCCCGGAGATTTAACCTTGAGACCATATTCTCCTTCCTCTGCAACAAAATAATCCCAAATGATTCAAAACACATTTGTGAATAGATTAATATGCATTATAGATGAAGAAAACTAACATGTTCGGAATGTGACAAATACTTCCCATCAAGTGTCACGACGACACGCTTATTACCATCCACTCCTTTAATTTTGTCCACAGAACAATAGAAGTCTATCGCCGACATGCTAAAAAATACACACGATTATATTCAAGTATACTACTTAAGAAAATCAACAATAAAGTTGGAATCACAAGGAACCAATTTGAGCTAATAGCAATTTCTTCGTTACCAGGAAACTACTAAACAATATTACTTTCTAATTTCTTTACAAGGAACAATCTACAAACTCAAAGGAACAGTTCAGAGAAAGAATAGGCATATAGATAAATCAAGAAACTTTCATTTCCAATTCCTCAGCAAATGAACAAAAATGGAGCAAAGGATTAAACTTAACTATGGTTCTTTTAAGCGATGATCAAAACTCAGACTTTACAAACTAAGAACATTGTATAATCTTCCACTCAATTAATTAACCAAATTTAAAGCATAATTATTAAACCTTACATGCCATCGCCGAAATCTTCGTTGATAATCTCCTTTATACTCTCACCTAAATGCATCACTGCTTCATTCAACCTAAAAACAAATTTTCTTATTTAAAAAAACCACAAAAAATATATGAAATTTCGAGAATGCGCGCAACAAATCAAAACCTGTAGATGGTGGGTTCTTGGATGAGGTTGGGATCATAGGATCTCCACGGCGGAGACATCATCGCGCTGAATGAGTTCATCGGTCAGATCCGGTAAAGCTTTTCGAAGCTTCGGGACAGTATCGGGTTTGAGTTGGGCTTGGCGACGAAGCAGCTGAGCAACGTAGACGTTAGTGAGACCTGTCTCCGCCGCTAATTGGCTGTAAGTCTTGCCAGAAGCTGATTTCACGGCGAGAAGCACGATTTGTAACGCTTTGTTTTGTCGCTGCTTCCATTTTTTGACCCTCCACTTTTCTCACTTCCTTGCTATCTTCAACGGTAACCTTATAGATAATCGCCAATACAGGTTATAATTTCGCTAAACTTTTGAAAAGATTTGGGACGGTTTAAATAATAATATAAAATTATATATTTAATTTCAAGTGTTTCCATTTTTCCCGACTCGTGCCACAATATTTCCATGAATTGATTAACTATGAAAATTTTGTGCCACACTACTTCGATCTTGTATATATATTTGGACAAGTATTTGATTGATCTTATAGATTTTGGTTATCCTAACGGACCAACATTTTTTGTTTTTTTTTTCTAGCGGACTAACTTCCCTATCAAACTGAGCCGGCCCTATCATCCAAAAGAGATTGTTGCAGATTCAAAAATTTATATGAGATTTTAGTAGAGAAGGACTTCAGTGCTACTAAATATTTCAAGAGTTGCATGATGATTCTTTAGGATCTAGAGATTCCTCAATCACAATATCATCAAATCACACAAGTAGAAATTAGATCGTACTGCAACAAAACTATTTAAACAAAAAACTCACCTGATTTGGATTATAAATTCTTGTGTCGACGAGAACGATAAGAAACGGAGAGAGATTTTCTTAATAATTTTATACGAGTGGGTTATTCTCGCCACGCATATTTTATTGTATCAGCCAATAAAAATGTGCCACCTCAGCAACATTGATCAGGGAATTTAAAGAGTGTGTTCTTGAACAAAAAGTTGGGAGAGTTCAATATGAAGGCCCAATAAAGCCCAAACTAAAGCCTATCAGCATTACTCGCACGATATAAAGAAAAAAAAATGTTTGCTCAGATAACTAAATACGGATACAAAATCGCCGATAGTGAATCTAAAGATTTGATAGTGTAATGATTTTACTTTATTGTAGGTCACATGAGAAGATATCTGAAGTGAAATGTGTGATTTTACAGGCAAATTAATGTTTATGACTTGTTAATTCCCTAAATCAAAGGACAGAATCTAAGCCAGATAAACAAAATAACTACCAACCAAATGCTGAATTAGGCCCACCACATTATCGATTGAATTTGTATTTGTATATTATATGAACGATACAAAACAATTCACAAATGACTAATGAGTTTTAGTTTTTATGAACAACAAAAAATCTGATTTATTAGTGACTAATTATGGAGAAAACCGAGGAAGATTATGAATGATGAAAGAAGTTT